AGGGAGCAGGTACATATGCTTATCCGTGGGTTTACGGAAGAGATCAGTTTTAAGTGCACCATTTTCCATGGTCATGGGGATGTCCAAAAAATCTACACTCCTTGTGGATTTGTTAGCAGTGAATTTGATTGTGGGATGAGACGAATTAATGTTCAATAGGAACGTATCCAAACTATCTTCACCATGGGTCCAGATCATGAAGATATCATCAATTTAACGAAACCAAACATCCGGTTTCTTGGGCTGTAGGGACAGGAAATTGGCCTCAAATTGTCCCATAAATAAGTTAGCAAAAGATGGAGCCATTTTGGTGCCCATCGCTGTGCCATGAATTTGAAGGTAATGACCCTCGCCGAAAACAAAGTTATTATTGGTCAGAATCAGCATAATAAGTTCACGGAGATGTGATTTAGATGGGGTTTTTTTCCCCGAATTTGCTTGTAATTTGAAATGCACGCATAACACCTTCTTCATTTGGGATATTAGTATATAATGACGAAACATCAAGTGTAGCCAGAACAGTATTATTAGGTAAATTTGAAATTTGGTTAATTTTGCGGATAAAGTCCGTGGAGTCCTGAATGTACGAGGGGAGAGCAGCAACATATGGTCTCAATAAATCATCCACATATTCAGAGATTTTTTCTGTAGCAGTACCGTTGCCCGAAATAATGGTCTGCCAGGATGGCCTGCTTTGTGGATTTTGGGTAGGACATAGAAACGTCCTGGTGCCGGATCGACCTGGATGAGATGGGGTCAAATTTTGGGATCGATGGAACCCTTTTTGACCATCTTTAATACAGATTTTTCCACTTCCTTAGAAATTTCCGGAGTGGGGTCCTCTGTGAGCTTCCGATAGTGAAGAGGATTGTTTAGTTGTCTTAAGGACTCTTCATAGAATTTAATGTCCATTACGACAGTGGCAGAGCCTTTATCAGCTGGTTTGATAATAATATCATCACGCTGACGCAAATTGGCGATGGCCATATATTGGCGATGGCCATATATATATATATATGGCCCATATATATATATATATATATATATATATATATATATACAGAATTCATGTTTAATATATTAATATGGCTCACACACTAGTTATTTGGTAACCAGTATGCTTAACACCCACCGGACAGGTCAAGCCCCCGCCGAACAGAGTAGTGAGACCGTAAAACATATAAAAATAGGCCCACACCAAGCTGACACATGTCTGTCACAGTCTGAGAGTGTCATTTTTGGTCATCCATAGGTTGATATTCTTTAAAAAAATTCATTTGGGTGGGGGACCCTCTAAACCCCTGTCGGACAACTTAGCGCCCTCCCCCCAGAAAACATATCCTAGAGCCGCCACTGTTGGTAACACCAAGTGCGTTTGTGGTAGTTAGCGAAAGTGTATATACCCTGTGTACATAGGATTAACGAATGATTTGTCATTAATTGTACTGCTGCAGCAAGTTTTTCATAATTACTTTTATCTTTGTTAATACTGTATGCCTCATTTACCATCATTATGAGATGCATACACACATTATGCTGTTTATAAGCCACAAAATACTTGCAACTATTTCACAGCCTGTCATCAGTGCAAGCTTGCAAAAATGCATGAGGCTCAAACTCCCTTTTTTTTTCTTTCGTGGCATGACCACCACTTTTATCCAAAAATAATCTGCATTAAACAAATATATATATATATATATATATATATATACATATATATATATATATACAATGTATAAAGTCCTATGAAAAATCATTATGTAGTAAAATGCCTCCGACGGGATTCGAACCTACGACCTCTGGGTGACAAGGCGAGCGTCATAACCACTAGAGCACGAAGGCTTCATGGTTGAACAGGTCCAAATTCCCGTCGGGAACATTGTATTACACAATGCTATGCCTTAAGAGGGCGTTCGGCCAGATAAAAGTTTTTTTTAGTTACCCTTGTGTTCTCTTTGTACCAACATTTAATTTACTTTGCCTTTTTGCATATATTCATATAATTTTCATAAGAATACAATCATTTCTTTGGGTTAAGAAATAGTACAAAAGAAAAAAAAAAAACTCCCAACCAAGTTACAAAAGCACAAATGAAATCGCTTTGCCAAAACGCCTTACCTAAAAAGAATTTCTGATCATGTGCTGTGATGAAACCCTATCACATTACTTAAGTCTATTACATACCACACATAGGCCTAGGCCTACACGAAATTTAGCTTTTTTATCTCTCTGATGGTGTCCTCGGCAGGTTAATTCTAGGGACGTCACTTAAATTTGTTTAGAAGTGGTTTAAGGGTCATAGTCCTCATAATGTATGACACAAGGAATATTTAATCAATTTAAATCAGCAGTATTAACATTTTTAAAATACATATAATTTACACCCAGTCCCCCTTCCGGATTATTTTTACTTCGCATAGAATTAGTAATACACCACATTTCCAACGGTATATAAAATCTTAAGAAGTCGCCAAATAAACTTAGTATATTTTTTAAAGGAAGAATAGAATATAAGCATCTATGAATCTTTAAAGTTCGTAATCCCACCACTTTTATGTGACTTTGAAAGGCAAGTAATGTTACTTTTCGTTTTGATTATTTCTGTTTTCATGTGGCAATATAATTTATTCTCTTAGAGTATTCGCTTTAATAACAAGCTATAATTAATTATATTGTATAGTATGTTTGGCTAGGCCTAGAACTTAGGCCATGTTGATGGCAGTCTGATCTTACCTAGCTAACCTATAGTGGAGCCATGGTATGCATCCGTCGGCCTGCTTCTTGGCCTAAATACAAAACTACAGAAACCAAATGCCTTCAAAGGCCTAGGTAGTAGGAAAAAGTACTGTAATTTAAAACAATAGCTCGGAATATGGCCTAAATAATTGTAAAAGACCTAATTATGTACCTAATAATAAACCTGGCTAGCCTAGACTTGTAGGCTTTTGTGTTTAAATATAACAATTATAAATTATATGGTAAATTTATTAAGGCTTATGTATGATACATCACATAATTTCATTTTCACAAATATTTTTTTATTTCTTTTACATTTCAAGGATTTGAAGCAAAAATCAGCAGCAAGATGACGAGTATTCCATTAATCACCAAAAATAGAATCCACTGGCATTGGGAAGGAAAACAAGGCAAAACAATGCATGTTCAGCTGACCTATGGCAAGTTTATAAAAGATCATTATGAGATTTCATATTGTAACCCAGTTGCTCAACATCTATGCATATATTTGATTTGCCCGATCCGTTGGTTGCAGTTGTATAGGGTTAATACTGACTTTACGTACTTATCAAATGTGGCGTTAAAGGTGCATGTATTATGTGTAAAGTTACTCGACACTTTTCTATTTTTTTTGCATTTATGAAATACATTTTTTTTATATATTATTATTATTATTATTATTTACATTTCAATTTTTTGACAGCATATTGTGAGATATACGAACAAAAAATATTTAAAAACCTAAAATCTGCATTTTGCTTCTGCAATTTATCCGCCAAACAAGGGCTTAGCATCATAGGCCTCAGGTGGCAAGTCCATCAATAGGGCTTGCACGTTGTCTGTCCCGGTCCCATCTGCCAGCCGGAATTTGACCCATATGGTCGATCCGATCAAGCCGGTCAGTGGTCGTTCTGCTCCAGTCGGCCTGGCCTAGCCAAGTGAACAGATCGAACCATCCGCTCTAGTTGGCTCTGCCAGTCGTGACCAAAAATACGTTCTAAAATCTGCATCTTCTGATCGGCACTAAATTTGAGGAGGACCGAAATAAATGTAATATTTTCAATAAGGTAAAATGTCACTGGTTCTGATTTGAAATCTACTAAATTTGTTACCTATTGCAAACTCCAGCGTAGCAGACTGGTCAAATGATTTTTTTTTTTTTGGAAGTCTGTAGAAAAATATGTACATGGCATAGCCTAAGTCAAAGGTTATAAGTCACATTTCATTCAGCCTGATGAAGTCTTGTTAAAAACGCCGAAAGCTAGTTAATACAATTTGTTTAAAAATGTGTGAAATATACCGTTAAACAAAGATGAAACTTATACAAATATATATAAATAAATATAATAAAGCATATGTGAATATGTGCATCGTTGGTGAAATTATTTTGAGATATTCACCAAAATAGGTCAAAGGCAACATTTTTACAATGTTGATTTTAATGTTTTTGAATAACTTGATACTTATATTTTATGATTGTGTACTTTTTAAGTGAATTTTCTTGCTAAAGCGGTGTTCTCCTCGCATATTCTGTAATTCTAGTCATATTATTTGTACAGGTAAGTTTTTTGAGGTCGATTTTCTCAAAACCTGGTTCTCATACACCTAAACTTTAAATATTGCTCATATCTCTGGATCTATTTATCCTAGGGCAGCCATTCAAAGACCAAATTAAAGCTTATAATGTGATCAGGCTACCAAAATATAATATAAACTAATTTTTCTTAAATTTTCTAACGATGAGACTAATTTTGTAGTGAGACCTCACATATAAAATAAGAAATTTATATATTATAGTAATATAAAACAATAAGTGATTATACTACTATGATACTATTCTATTAACAGATAATGTGATCATGTTACATTATAGTAAACATTAATTAAACGATTGGCTAAGATAATGTTTGATTTGTTTAATTGTGAAATTTTGTCTGTATTAGTAAGCTAGTAGCATTGCTTGCATTGTATTGCCTGCTACATTCGATGGACAAGCAAGCATTTTAAGTTCACAATAAACTCTCATGCAAGAAGCATTCTCAACTTTTTTATTTGTTGTAGTAATCAAACACAAGAGATATTTGATATTAGGACCACAAATTACAAAAGTCGTTAGTAAATGCATAAGATGTTTGCTGACTCCAACTGTCAGAAAAGCAAATTGGTGTAATTAAAATCAGTTCGTCGCCGAGTATCATAACCCATGCCAAATATTATAATAAAACTCAATCCTTTTTCTTAATAGTATTTTTTATACCCTATAGGCATTACCATCAATAACGCCAAACACGTTAGAGCAGGTGTTTGAAAAACAAAAAAGTCTAGCCTTGACCTATTTCCAAAAAAATGGACAAGATTTTGGCGAATCGTTTAAGGAGTGCATGACAGAATTGGAAGGCAGCATTACTAATGAATACCCGCATTACAAATCCATAATTGACGTAAGTAAGAGAGACTTTATGGCCAATAGCTTAGCTTTTTACTTTGAAATAAAATGCCAATGAGCAATCAAGCAATAATCGGAACGATGGTGTTCCCGTGCTGTTCATTAACTTGCTTCATTAGGTTGATGAAGAAATTTTTGTTCATGTATTTCAATGTACTTTTGTGTCTGACCTACCTGTAACCAGCTTAAAATGCTCTAGAAGTTGATTTGCCTGTTGTTTATAGTTCAGCGGCTCCGAGAACCCCCTTGTACCCCTGCTTTATACCTGTCATTATTTTTTTTTAAGTTACCTTTATGTATAAGCTTTAAGAAACACCTTGTTAGTCAAGCGTTTTCTAGTGCATGTAAACCAACATCAAATATGGGTAACTTTTTTGTTCAATATTAGGATTGATATGTGGTGGTGGTGTGGTGGGGGGGTAATATTTTTTGTCCGTCAAATTTTTATTAACTGAATATATTTTCTTGTTTTGGTGTCAAAGTGTAGAATAATACATTTCCCATCATTTGGTAATGGGACAATGTAAAACGTCGTTAATTAGACCCTATGTCACAAGAGGTCAATAGGTTAGCTATTCCACACCTTATTACTAATAATAACAAAATATATTCAGCTGATAAGAGTTGTTGGCATAAATGTTACCTACCTACCCTACATTAATCTTAATGCATGACATGGACACACATACCTGTAGAGTACTCCATTATTTCCAGGGAACAGTGAATTTTGTTCCCTAGTTATTTCATGCTTGCTAGTTAATTAGGTATGTTTGTAACACGCTCATCAATAGAGCACATTGCATCAGCGACCACAACTCCATCCGGAAAGAAGTGAAACATGTTAAGGCAGCCCTTAAACTTAATGGTTATCACACGAGAGACATTGCTACACCCAGACCCAGCAATAGGCTAGGTAATGCAGAATCGAGAAAGTCTGTGTGTTTACCATATTTGGGACAGCTTTCACACCGCATTCAACGCATTCTATTACAAGCAAATGTAAAAGTGTTTCAAAACCACCAGCACAGAGTCAACCAGGAGTTTATCGGATCCCGTGCGAATGTGGGAAGGTTTACATTGGTGAAACAGGACGAGATCTCCGCACTAGGCTCAAGGAACACCAAGGCCATG